ACAGCTATTTTGTACAATGTCTTAACTTTCTTAGATAAGTTATTTTTATCACTGGCTCCACGAAAGCAAGATGAAGTTTTTGTGACCCAAAATGTACTTATTGCCAACCATTTAAGAAATGTCCCTTTACCCATCTACTACTATGCTTTTTTGCAGATTAAAGGAAAAAACCCACACCATTTTAATATATCAGGATGATGTTAATTTGGTACCTACCTCATCCTTGTCCATAACACTGAATGTGTAGATAGTACTACCCTTCTGCAGGTTTTCAAACACAGATATATCATAAGCTGCTTGATTAAATTCTGGCGGGTTATCGTTGACGTCTAGTATCTGCACAACAACACTTGTTGTGGCGCTGAGACTTGGCTGCCCTCCATCTGATGCCTCCACGACTACTTCAAATGTCTTTGAGGTTTCATAATCCAGCTGTTGGCTCAGGCTGAGCTCGCCTGTGGTCAAATTGACAAGAAACACTGGCGAGGAGGTTGGAGGTTTCTGGCTAACGATTCTATACTTCACGAGAGCATTGGTCCCAGCATCCAGATCAGTAGCAGATACCGTATACAGTGCCCTTCCGAGGACTTCGTCTTCAGGGACAGATATTTTGTATTCACTTGATGAGAAGACTGGAGGGTTGTCATTCACATCGTCAACAATGACTGTCAAATTGAGCGCTGTAGACAGCACGGGTTGGCCTTGGTCACTGGCAATCACTGTTAACTTGTAGAAGCCTTGTGTTTCTCTGTCCAATTTCTTTTCCAGCAAAATTAATCCTGAGGAGTCAATGTCCATTTTTCCTTCTCCACCTTTCAGATTATAAACCACTAACCCGTTAAAACCCTCATCCGCATCCACAGCTGACACGCTGGCAATACTAGGTCCAGCTGGCATGTTCTCCGGAATGGTAATGGTGGTGGTGGTTATACCAAACACAGGACTGTTATCATTGACATCCGTAACTTGGAGAAACACTGCGGCATAGTCAGTAGTATTTCCATCCGACAAGGAAATGTTTAGCACATAATTATTCTGGGATTCATAGTCCAGTTTGGTTTTTGTCGAGATGGTTCCGTTGACATCGATGTCGAATGTAGCAGATTCCGTCAGTACTTGAAACGTAACTGGTACATGGGGATTTAACGACTCATACTTTACCTGTAAGGTACAGCATATTATCCATAAGTGAATTCAAACCAATAAACTACAGTCTAGAACAGAATAATGATTTTAACGATGCTTGAACTTATTTTACTGATTTTATTCATTAAAATAAGAATCAAGCCACAATATACACAAAAATACCACTAAAAAGGACTGCCTTTTGTTGGAACATCACTAATACAGAAATGTGAATACGTATAATGCATCGTACAAATAACAGACTGCATTTTAACCTTGGGCTCTGTCTTTCTTTAATTGGAAAAAGTGAAAAATTAATTAACTCAGGAAGTCAATGAATCAGAACACTAAAGTGCATCATTGTCTCGCTGCTTTGGTATCAGACCTCCGGTGTGTCTTCAGAACCTGCCCCTAAGGAGCGGCGATCGCAGGGCCTCCTCCTGGTGACCTGTTTGTCTGAGCATCTCTTGATCAAAATGAGCAGCAAGTTTCAGAGCCTTCTTCGAAAATGCCTTCATGGCAGTTCTCTCCGAAGAGGTCTCTATTTCCTAGCTGTAATGCCACGGCGGTTCAGACTTGTAACCCACAGATGAGTGAGTTTTGTCTACCCTAGCCTTCGGGTACTACAGGTTTTGGAGAATGTCCAAAGTCAACAAAAGGCTAAGTGTGAAAGTTTACCTTCTGGGGTTTATTTCTGAGTCTTACTGTTTAGATTTTGCTGGGTGTTGTTGTTGGGTTTTTTTAATTATTATTATTATTATTTATTTTTGTTTGTGTGGGGTTTTTTTCACTGTTAAATGGTAGTGTAAGCCATTTAAGAATTTGCAGTGGTAAGAATAGGCTTCATGGGTGATAGGCTTCACCTGAGCATTGTGATCAGTGTGTAATGTGTGTGAAGCTTGATACGCAGAAAAGAAAACACAACATGTAGTTATCCATAACCCCAGGGGTTATGGACATCCAGAGCACATATAGTTCAGGATTTTCTTAGAGCTGTCATGCGCTGTGCAAGTGATAAAGTTGTTCTTACTCTTGCTACTTCAACAGGACTGTCTAGCTCTTCTTCCAAAGACACATGGTATGTTTTCTGAATAAACCGTGGTCTGGAATCTCCCACCGCAAAGATTTGTACTGGCACTGATGAACTTCTTGGCATTGTCCCACCTACAAGCAAAAGAAAACAATCTCCCAGCAGATGCACAAAATGCTTTCTGCCTAATAAGTTATACTTTTTCACTGGCACTGATTTTTTTTGTTTGTTTTTTTTAAGCCTTACTGCTACCACTATGCTACTGCTGGGAGGTCCTAACCAAGATCAGAGTTTATTTATGTATTGGGTGTTACACTTACAACATAGGAACCTGAACACATACAACAGTATTAGCACAGACAAAGAACGGACCGATGAATAGCTCTTGTAACTGTATTCCCCTCAGTGCCCATTTTATCCACGCAGCCATGAACTTGAAGACACAGAGTTCATCTTGACCAAAGCGGGAGGCTGAAAAACGCTTGGGCATGCTCACGTTAGCAGGAGTGGGATTCCACTCCCAGGTTACGTTTATCTCTGTCCTCATTCAGATCATGAATGTCCATTATCCGTTTAAAACAAAGAAACCCTCAATAAATATGGCAAAGGAAATGACGTTTTCCTGGTCTTCCTAAAAATTTTGTCATCTCCGTTTTAGTTTTTCAATCCCCACACGGATGTGCAAACAAAGACAAAGTTACTCATCACATTTTACTTTCAATTTTACTCCCTGTTGACTGATGGCTGAATTATAAATTCCTAGCTAGTGCCTGAATCTCTGTATTCTATGCTGTGCAACACCAGCCAATAATTAAGGAGGGTGTGAGATTTATATTATTTTGCATGTTCTCCCTACAGCCATAAAGAAAGCAGATTTAATAGCATCAGCAGAGATGCAGCAATTAATTTGGATGAATAAGACAGCTTTCTTCTTATCTTCAAACACAAGCAGGTGAAAATATATGGTATTTTTAAAATAAAGTCTTGGAACTTGTGTTGACAATGATACTTCAAGTAAAAAAAAAAACCACACCACCAAAAAAAAGCCCCCACCCAACCAAACCCACCCATCACCAGGAATAGCTCTGTTGACCGGTACTAAAATCTTGTCTTACCATCAATAGCTGTTATCCATAAGACAAAGTTCCTAAGCTCGTTGACTCCTAATGGGATTACTGTTTTTAAACTGATTTGTCCTGTAGATGTATCCAATTCAAAGTATCCATCTTCATTGCCACCTGCTAAGATAAAGCTTATCTCTCCATTTATGCCATCATCCGGATCAGCAGCAGCAACCTGGAGAAAAAAAATTATTACTTTAGTGTCTTGTGCTGTTATCAAGTAACACAGAATTGCTTATTCCTGAGTAGTTTGCAGAGAAAATCACTGAGATGATGATTAGGAATTAGTTGTGGGGTTTTTTTTTCCCTCTCATTCATAGCAAATAATAGGTCTAGATAATTTTATATATAAAAATCAGCTAAATATAGCCACAGTATAATTTGATTGTACCTTTGACTGTGTGTCTACTTCCTGTAGGATTCCTGGGTTAAACCTGCTCTTTGGTGCACACACAGAGTCATTCCGGAAGCGAGAGTGAAATCCCGCCCCTGTGGAACTCATGTGAACGACACCAAGTTTGTGTCTCAGAAAGCTTGTGTCATAGTAATTCCAAAGTCACTGGAGGTAGACTGTTGAGGAGTTTACATCAGGAGCCATTAAAGCTTTGATAGTCACTCCCTATAGATCTCAGCAATTTTTATCTTGGTTTCCTGTTTTATTGGGTTAAATGGTATACTGTCTTATAAAAAGTACATAATGTCTAAAAATTATTAACAATGCTTCAGCTTTCAGCAGCCTTTCAAAAATATGATTATTTAGATTTCTGGGCTCTAACAACATCCAGCTTTCATTAAACACCTTACGACAACTCAATCCAAGAATCCTGTTTTCTGGCTTAGGTTGGTAGAATTCAGGATGTTGCACAGCATCTAAGATGAAGAATAAAAATCCTCTATCATTTTTTCCCTGACCTAGGATACAATGAGAACATCCAGGACACTGTGATTACGGCACATCAACAGGTGTAAGCTTTTAAAGGAAAGGTGGGTGGTTTCTGACCTCGGAGGAGTTCCAAAAAGATCCCCTATTCCATAGGACCGCTACACAAGTCCAGGCAAGGACTCACGCATACATTCAACCCATTAAAATGGCATTTTAACTTAGCACTTCCCGTACCTGAAGAACGGACATTCCTGCAGTCATGTTGATGAAAATGTGTTGTTTGTAGGGCGTGCCTCTAAAGGCCGGGCTGTTGTCGTTTTCGTCCAGCAGCAATATGTTGATTGTAAAGTGTGCCTCATTGTAAGGTGGCGAATGATCCCTAGCAGTGACCTTGAAAAACGATGCAGTAAAATGACTGCTTTGCTCAAATGCATGTTCTATAAGTAGTAAGAGGGATAAATGACAATTACTGGTTGAGTAAACTGTATCACTACTGGTATTTCCCTCCAGATAGTCTGGTTTTGAGTCTTCAAGTAAGCGGCTCATCCTTGTCAGAATCAGCTTCTTGCCAGGACAGCCCAGATATCACCTGTTTGCTTCGGGTTGCTTTGGAAAGGAGTAGGCTTATTTTTAATACCTGTAGGCGAAAAGATGGTGTTGTCTCCCTATCCAACAGCATGGAGTTCCCCACAGTTAGGATCCCAGCTTGACTTAGCTGGAAGGGACTTTCAGCTTCACCGAGAATGAATGTTCCCTGGAAGCCTCCCTGCAAACAGTAATGATATTTGTCATTAAATAGGACGATCACTGAGCTAGTCCCTTAGGGCACTTGCTTATTTCCCTCCTGGAGAGCATTTAATTTTCTGGTTTAATTGAGGTTGCAGTTTAAAAGGGAGAGGAGCAAACAACGTGGAAGAAAGAAATACCATGCAGGCTGAGGGCAACTTGCAGCTTTGTGTCCGTTTTGCTTTTCTGCCCTTTCACATTTATGCAAAACAGAGAAGTTTCAGAGACAGACAAAATTTGTTCTTTGGCTGCAGTACTCTACCCCTTAAAGATGTGAAATTAAGTTTGTTTTGCTTAAGCATATTTAGGTATTCAGGGAAAAAAAAAGAATCTATAGCACTATCCACTACACATGTGTAACAGACAAGCATTTTATACTATATTTCAGAAGTGCAGTATTTGTAGCAACCATAACAACATTGTCATTCTACCTCATCTTCATCAACAGCCGTTACTCGAAGAACTTCCATCCCATTTGGGAAATTTTCTAGAATTGAGATATTGTAACTTGATTGTGACAACACTGGATAATTGTCATTCACATCTTCAATAGTGACCACCACTACTGCGTCAGCTGTTTTGAAAATATTGTCTTGCTGAGTTGCCTGGAAAAGAGAGTTTGTAGCTGTAAATTCCACACCCTGATACCACTGAGCTGTTCCAGATTAACAGAAGGAGATGACATGATTGCCTATGTTCAATAAATGATGGGGTTTGATATTTTGCATCTTAAATGGCAGGATGGAGCCTTGATACCAACTGCCTTTTAATATTACTATGAGAAATACTCTTAAGAGCAACATGGATTCACATATTACTGTATGAAATTGAGACGCTGAACTCTAAACAATCACTACCTGAATGCCCACGACAAGATATGGACATTCCTCTCTGTCAACTGCCGTCTTCACTTCCAACAGTCCGGTGTCTGCATTGATGGAAAAGGTGTTGCTGTAGGCTGGGGGTTTCACTGAAAAGCAACAAATTGCAGTAGGTTAATGACAATGAACCAGAACAGCAAGTCTGATCTGTCCTTTTTATGACTGTTGTCTTCTCAGCCATAGCAAAAATGAACAGATATTCCAGATAAAATCCTTTTTTTCTAACACACTGTCATGAAAACAATTCTGAGAAGATGGACTGACACTTCAAGGGTCTCAAATCAAGCATGTCATGAGCTTTTAGCAATTTTGTCATAAAGATAAAAAGATCCTGATGGAATTGATCTCTCTAGATGGCCCTGAATGGAAATCCTTTGATCAAACAGAAGACTCTAAGCTAACTCACACTTTGAATCAGTAACCACTTCTTGAAGGAAGGTTAAGAACATCTAAATATTTTGTAAATAGTTGGACACTGCTACAATGGCTGAAATTAAGCCGATTTAGCCCCCAGAGCAGCACCGCCGTGAAGATGTATGCAGTTAAGACGCCTTCTGACTGTACGCTGCACTTCATTATCATTCTCTTCAGTAATGCAGACAACATAAATTACTATGTGACTGTCGAGAAGAAAATAAGGGCTCTTACCTAGTTTGATGCTGTAAAATACTTTTTCATTTATACCCGTGTCTCCATCTTTAGCCATTATGTTCTCTGGGAGAATAGCCACAGGACCCACCTGAAAAAATATATTAACTTGATTAAGTTGAAAAATACACACACAAAATTTCATTTGTTCATTAGGTCACAATTTTGATCAAATAAACAAGAAACACGTATTTAATCACAGGGATCCAGAAGAAATTCTCTCTGCTATACAATTTTTACAGAGGAAGACAATGACCAGAATATTTGATGGACACATTGTGTTCGAGAAACACCAGACTATGAAGCAGTAGTCACTGTTGGAATTCACGTTAAGAACACTGAATGTTTCGGTTCCATTCCTCTCCTGGAAAACAATATGCAGGTTTCCACTGCAGCCTTAACAAAAAGAGTCATTTATTTAAAAGATAAAAGCTTCTTAGAAGATCTACAATGGTTTCTTACAAACAATTAGCGATGAACTTCTAACAAAATGGACAACAAAGGTACAACATCAAAAGCACATGTGGTTTAAAATCTGTTAACATGAAGACAACGATCAATAGGGGTAATAAAGAAGATAATTATTTTAAGTTTAGTGGATTACTCTAGTAATACTACAGTGTAATTTGCTATTGTCAATATATACAGGAGCCTGAGTTAAACAAATACGTTCCACCCAGAATTTCCACCCTATATTGAAAAAAAATTACAATATAATATTAACCACAGTTTACCATTCAGAGTTTTATTTTGCTTACTTCATTGTAATGAAGTATGAAGGAATTACAATATTTATAGCTAACCAGGCAGCCAAATCTGTGACTGATGGGTAGCCAACCGCCTTTCTTCAAGCTGACAGCAAAAGCCCTGGTACAACATCTGTTTAATCTGGGCTTGGGGTTTTTTGGGGGAGGTTGAGGGTTTTGTATACCTTTTTGTTTGTTTGTTTTCCAAACACAAAAGAACCCTTTTCTGTAGCAGAATGTTTTATGCCTCATATAATACATGGCCTATTTACCTGGTACTTGTAAGTGTACAGTTGTTAACCTGACAATTCACCAGCTAGCACAAAGCAGAGCAGCCCCCCATCTTACAGTGCTCAGAGATGAAGAATCCTTGAGAGAAAAGCACTGCGGACAGGAATTTACATTCACAGCATTCAGAAAAAAGCTTTTACCTGGTTTTCACTGATTCTTCCATTGTACACTGATTGACTGAAATAGGGATTCAACGTATCGTAATCTTGTACTTTAATTAGTAACGATGCAGTATCATTGTTGCTTCCATATTTTTCCTACATCCCAAGAGAAGGAAGAAAATAAGGAACATTGTAGTGAAAGAGCCATTTCTCAGTGGAAAATACAGCAGAATATTATTATATGTGCTTTGTAGCTGCTTTGATAGCACCTCCCAGTACCTGTATGGGCTACAAGGAAGCTGGGGGGACTTTTTACAAGGGCCTGTAGTGACACGACAAGGGGTAATGGGTTTAAATTGAAAGTGGGGAGGTTTAGATTGGATATCAGGAAGAAATTCTTCCCGGAGAGGGTGGGGAGGCACTGGGACAGGTTGCCCAGAGAAGCTGTGGATGCACCATCCCTGGATGTCTTCAAGGCCAGGCTGGATGAGGCTTGGAGCAACCTGGTCTAGTGGAAGGTGTCCCTGCCCATGGCAGGGGGTTGGAACTGGATGGGCTTTAAGGTCCCTTCCCACCCAAACCATTCTACGATTATTTCTATGATTTATAGTTTCTAAGCATTTTTCACCTGAGAACTCTCATCCTGTCAGATTTTGGCATTTCTAGAAATCCAGTTCCAGTACTAATACTATCAAAAGATAAAACGAATAACTAAGAACAATGACATGAGGCAGGTGTTCTGCAGTAGCACACAGAATAGTTCACTTGGTGCAGCTGTACTGTTTGCTAGATACCACGACAACAGTGGCAAAATTACTTCTTTTGAGTTTTAAAAGGATTCGAAGGCAAATACATATTCAAATCTCAAAAAAGACACACAAAAAGACTGCAGGTGGTGAGATGCAGCAAAAGTAAATCTGCCAGAATGAATAGGCAAATATATGTTAGAATGGTGGAGAATAAATGCACATACTTAAGGAAACTTGGGCTGGTATCCCAGGGGAGGCTTAAACAATGGCTCTAATATTAGGAATGTGCTACTTCATCTGCAGTATAAGCCAAGATGCAGACACAACTTTTGGCTTGGGAAGTCCCTAAGTTGTTATAACAAAGGAAGTATTCATTGTACAACTATCATAGTTCTCATTCTTCTTTTAATTTTCATCATACCTTTGCTTGGACTGTTAAATTGAAAAGGTTGATCTTGTTGTAATCCAATGTTTTATTCACCATGATGTTTCCATCTCCTTCCCTTATATAAAAGTAATCAGAGTTTGGACCCTGTTAAATGAATAAATCATATCTTTTACATGATTAACAATGAAACACATCTTCTTTCCCCTTAACCACCTTTATCTTTGCACTATTCTTCATAAGGGGCCAGGAATCTCTCAAACACCACCATTGGAAAGGAAAATGCTGATCCTCTTCAACACATTCCATTGCCTCTGCCATCTGTGCCATTAGAGTTATCTGATTTATCTCATCCTGTGGTCAATAACTACAGCAGACTGGGTGAATGGCATCCAGCTATAAAAGGAGCAGAGACAGCACGCTCAGATGTGAAGACCTCCAGTGCAGACACCTAAAGTCAGTTGGAATAATCATACTGCAGGTGGCTCACACATACGCTTCAGCAGGACATCAACAGAAAATCAAATATGGACCTTAAAAAGGGGGAAATTGCTTCACACCTGCTTCTAGAAGGGACCACTGAGTTCCTCTGCTGTAGTGGAAGAGCACCACGAAACACGTCACACACGTTAAGAAACAGGATTCGGGGCTCGCTGCATGCCGGTCAATCCTGTGGCTTAATTTCTAATTTTAAATGGTCTTTCTGATGCTGGCATTTTGCAGATTAGTAATAGTAATGGGACAGTACAAGACAGCATCCTCCCAGGCTGTAGTTCGTATGAAACCTCGGCTGGTGTTCACAGTCTCTGACAAACAAAGGGCACTCACCCAAAGACTGTAAGTAATGAAGCTCAACTCAGGCGAGAAATCTTTATCGACAGCTTTCACTTTGATAACTGTGGAATTTATTGCAGCTACCTAGAGGAAATAAAGACCAAATGCTCAGTCGTGAGCCCCTTTTGGTATCCCTCCTAACTTCTGGCAGGAAAGCTGTGCCACCTCCTTAGCATATGCAAATTCCTGCCCATTGCCGTTTCAGGTCGAACGCTTCTTCTTCACCCCACAGTTCCAGCTGTACATGCAGCCCAGCCATTCCCACACCACGCCGAGGTGTAGAAAAGTCCCCCAAGAGTGCGTGTGACAATTTAATATGAGCATGATCACATCAGAACCTCATATGTTCAGTCCCCAGGAACTAATTTTAAAATACCACAAGAAAAAAAATACTAAAATTTGCCATAACCCACCTCTGATACTGAAGCATTGTAGTGAGTTTGTTGAAATTCTGGGGAATTGTCGTTTAAGTCTTGTAGGGCTACGTCCCGTGCATTCTCTATCTCATTCGTCTGCGTAAGGGAAGCAAGAGACACGTTAGGAATGACAGCAGTGAGGGAGCAGAATACTGCTAACTTTTAATTTCTTCATGTAAAATGGGATCGTCAAAGAGACACGGCTTCAGTTCTAAAAACTGCAATGAGAAGTTAGACTACTGTTTCTAATAATGGAGTAGAAAGCTTATGAAAATATTTTTAAATGAACTTTTAAAAATTTACCCTAGGTTTTCAGTCAACAAAAGCACTCATTCCAATTGGCACATTTAAACAAATTTATCTTCTACAAGGTACTCTAAACCCCCTGCATCACATCTTTAAATGAAATAGTATTTCAGAAAATAATAATTTGCATTAAACTTAGACAAGAAATGCAGTTGACAAAACATGTCTTTACTTACCATTCCACTCCTTTGGCAAACAACAGCATAAAAGAGATGGTTACTCTACAAATTTAACAAACAAACAAATGAATAATATTATCTGTGAACTCCTAATATGATTGCCAAAGAATGTTTGTGTCAAAATTATACAAAACAACTTCCGGTACTGGAGTCCTCAGGTGTGCCACGCCGAGGTGGCTCAGAACAGGAGCACACTTCAGCTATTTTTGTCACTTTGAGATGCTGTACCCAAACACACTGCTTATCATACCTAGCAAAGTCATTACAGACTATTAACTGTAAAGCTAATTTGGCATTCATCTACAGCTGGTTTCTAACTGTCCAGGTCCACCATCCATGTACCCGACTATTATCCCTGACAGAATATTGACAGGGAATAGAGGAATGTGTGTAAGAAGCATGAGAAGTGTTTTAAGCCATCTGGAAAATATCCAGTTGAGAAATACGAATGTGAAAATTGTAGATACATTTTTATCAGAATTCTTGATTGTAACTGGTTTTTAAAAATATGTCTGGTTCAATTCTGTCAAGTACGCTGCTACTCTGCAATAGTACTCGTCTATCATAGAATCATAGAATCACAGAATGGTTTGGGTTGGAAGGGACCTTAAAGCCCATCCAGTTCCAACCCCCTGCCATGGGCAGGGACACCTTCCACTAGACCAGGTTGCTCAAACAAACAGGTCTAACAAACAGCCTCCGCTTACTCCGTACAACTACACCATTTCCACGTTCAGAGGCAACTCCAGCCTGGAGAAACATTCATATCGCTTTACAGATTCCTGGTAGTCCTGCAGAGCAAGAACGGCGCAGGAAGAAGGACCTATCCTTCTGCGCATCCACCCCAGGGGCCGGCGGATCCACGCAGGTGTGAAGCTAAGCACCCGTGTAAACAGTCATATGAAGAAGGATTGCCTTCCACCAATTGCGTCTGCTCAATCCCACTTTGATGCAGTGTTGGATGGTACCGAGAGATGAGCTTTAAGCAAAGCGGCAGCGATCATAACGGCATACCGACAACTTCCGTTACAGCTGACAGCGCATGACTAGGAGAGACCCTGTCTGACTGTCAGTTCCCAGGCAAGTTTACAGCTCCAGGGAACTGAAGACATTTAGGAGAGATCACTGAGAGGCAGATACTGAAGTCTATGCTGCTCCTTCTGATGAGTCAGTTTTTGGTCATAGCAACTTAAGTCTTAGTGCAACTTTTTTTTCCCCACCTCTCAATAAAACCTTTATATCTCTGTTTTACATGCAGTGAAAATAATACCTCAATAATATCCACATCCAGGGACATTCTCGTCCTCACTGTAGCATTATTAGATCCAGAATTATATATTAGCTCCACATACGACAAGTGTTCGGGGAACACATATTCTTTTAATTTCACATTCACATTGGGTGGGATATCTGTAATCCATTCGATATCACCTGTAAGAGAAAGCATAATAGATTACTTTATGGAAAAGAAATCCATAGTTTCATTTCACACGGATTGACAACTAGATTACTGATTACCTCTTGGTTACATTTGATATTATTTTGGCATTACGAGCTAAACAGTGAGACCTGTTCAAGTCCCCTTAAGCACAAGTGTATTGATACCTTTTTAAAACCACCCAAACCCACTTTTTCCAAGATATTCACACTCTGAAACTATATGTCCAGAATTAAAAGGCTTGGCATAATTTACACCATTTTCTGGAAATAGCTTTATGCTGCAAAACTTTTTTTTTTTCCCCCACATTTTAGTGTGAAAATGCAATCAAAGCATAACCAAAGTCAGGGAATGTAATCAAAATCAGTGAGAGGCTGATTTTGGGCTGCATGGGAGGAGATTCAGTATTTTCCACAGACAAGGGCATTTCGCATCTCTTAGTTGAATTGATCAAGCAGGGAGAAGCCAGTGTGGATCTGGATTCAGGCTCAGGGTTGTTTCAGTTTTGGTTTGGGCACAGAATGGTAAGCGCTTGGCCTCTCCTTTAATCTGTTCCAATACATACAGAATCCTGAAATACAAACCGATGCAGCCTTTGAATAATTTTGAATGTGATTTCCTACCACCATGCATTTAGGAACTGTTGTCTTGAAAATATTAAAACTCATTATTTGTAATTATCACGACTCATATAAGACTACATGTAATTTCAGCAGTGAGTGTATTACTCGCGTGGTTAAAGGCCAAATCTGGTTTTGAAAGTGTGCTCAAAATGTATCCTTTTAAACCACCCATCTTGGTGTTACTGGCAATTTTATTAAATAAAGTTATATTTAATACCTTATTTAATAATTAGATACCATATCTAATACCTTTATTACCGTAGTCATATTATAAATATATTTGTGCTTATTAAATAATACTTATTTTCTCATGGAATACATTGTCTGGATGGCAAATCCTTAATCCAAAACCCTCCAAAAACTTTCCTGAACATCCCAAATTTTTTGCACGATCTTCAGGAAACTTGCTGGCTGTGTTTCTTTCTTATGCCACTGGTTTTATACCCCACCATTACTAATTTAGGCTAGAAAACCCTTTATATGACTGCCTCATCTCTAATCTCCACACGCAGACTCTTGGTGTTGGTCTAAAGGGAGGAAACCTTGCCTTCTCCCAACAGCAGGGAGTGTCCGGAACGCCGTCAGCTACCAGCCCATGGATACTGGACTATGATTGTGTGTAAGGAGAAAGTCCAGCCAGATGGCAGCAAGCACAGAACAACCAGGCTGCATCCCAGGGACACAGCATTGTGTGGTATCACAATATTTAGTGTGTAGTGTTGAAACTGTTGGAAGAAAACATTCCAAGAAAACAAAAACCATCTTTGCCTGCTGATATCCTAATCCTCCATCCAGAGATGGATATATTCAGGCAAGAAGTATCAAGCAGCTGCCTAATAGACAGCATTCCATCCAGCAGAGAGAACCTAACAAAAAGGAAGTGCTTGGAAAAATTGAAGCTGGTTGCCCCTCTTGCTTATTCATTATGGGTATGTCAGCAGGTACAGTCGTACCCGTGACACACACAAAGGGCCAAACTTCTTGCTGATGGCTTAAAAATTAAACGAAGAGGAATCAAGGGGAAAGGTGATTCTTTTTCGCTCCCCATGCAAGAGTCAGACACGGCAACTATGCTCCTACAGCTTTGAAAGCAACGTTTCAACAGTGGCTGTTAAAAACCCCTGCTCTGTGTCATACCCGTTTTCTGTATCTCGCTGAAAGCCAGGAGCAAGGAAGATTGCCCGTGGGCAGTCGCTACGTGCCTGGCGCACGCCTCCCTGAGATCCTAAGGGTCGTAACGTATCCTGAAGGGAACGCTGTGGCCGTATCCTAACCCTTTCCCTCGGGAGACGGCTGTGTACCTGTGAGGCAAGTCAAATCCTGATGGCAGGGCTGTCTGTTACGACAGCGTAGTCACAGGCCAGATCCCTACCCTTCAGCTAACAACAGTGACCTCTGGTTAGTGGCGGGAGGAAAGGAGGATGGAGTTATCCCCTGTACCGCATCTGCAATGTGAAGAGCAGACACCACTACTGTCTATTCCTCTCCCGCACTGTGCCCTCTTCCCGTCACTGTACTTCTCCCAGCGTGGGATTTGGTCTCCGAGGCACACTCGCATTTTGGCAGCGAGGCGAAGGAAGCGTGGAAAACATAGGGATAAATGAATGTTAACCCTGCTGGGCTGCGTGAATTAAACAATCGAGTAATACAGAGTGTGCTACACGAACAAAGAAAGCTGGCATACAGAAGGCACGGACCCTGTAATTCCCTGTACTGCTTGTTCCTCGGCACCCCACCCGCCCTCCCCACTGCCCCAACAAACCCAAAGGGGCTTTCCGAGAGGGCCCTGACTGAAACAGCGCAGACCCTCGGAAGCAGAGCGGGGCTACGCTGGCAGTGGTTCCCTCGGATGCAGGGGGGTAGGGAAGAGATCCGCTCCTGTGGGCTGACTGGACAAGGTGAACTATAAACCTCAGTTTTTCTGTGCTTGTGGCCTTTCCCTTTGCCTGCTCCGTCTATTCAGATGCTGCGGTACTCGGATCAGGGGGTTTTGATTTGTGTATTTATTTATTCTACACCAAGCACTATGCCACATAGGCAAGCTGCTGCATCCAGCCATACAGACTATTGTAAATCAATTAATAACACAGATTCATTAAAAAAATCCACAGACTACGTGAAGGATTAAAGTACTATGTGCACTAGGGAGCAAATCAGACAATTCTAGGGTAGAATCACGATTTTACCTGTGTATTCATCCAAAAAGCCTGACAGCACGAGGGGGTTGGGTGATGTGTCACAATTTATACTTGTGGTTTCTAAAAAGAGAAGGAAAAGTCATGTACAAACGACTCAGAGGGACTGTTTTCAGGAACAGTACCAGGTAAAAAAGGTTATGCTATATAAAACCAGAGGCACACACTAGTTCATATTAAGCTAAAGGACACTGATCGTGGTGGCATATTGACATTTTCAGGGTTTAAAACAATACAACATTATAGGGAGTAGGAAAACATGCATGTCTTGGACCCAATCTATCCTTTCCCGAAAAAATGCCAGTGAGGAACTTCAGAAATTAAAAAACAGCTATCAAAAAAAGGTGTGAAAATGTCCAGCTGCTGAATTGTCTTTCCCCTGTAGCTTGACCAGACTGAAACTTGGGCTTTATTGCCTGACGATAATGGATCACCGATCATTAATTTCCTGCTGAAACCTTCCTGTGGAGATCATAATCGAAACTAGTTTTGTACCCTGGCCTCACAAAGGTTTGCTCCTCCCAAGAAAAGTGTAAACATAAAGCTATTCACCACTGAAATGTTAGCAAGGACCCAAGAGCTTAGGGTAAAGGCACACTGACAAATTGAAATTTAAAATGTAAATTTAAATTGAGTTTTAATTCAATTTGAATTAAGTTTAAATTGAAAGTGGGGAGGTTTAGATTGGATATCAGCAGAAAATTCTTCCCAGAGAGGATGGGGAGGCACTGGAACAGGTTGCCCAGAGAAGCTGTGGATGCCCCATCCCTGGAAGTGTCCAAGGCCAGGCTGGATGAGGCTTGGAGCAACCTGGTCTAGTGGAAGGTGTCCCTGCCCATGGCAGGGGGGTTGGAGCTAGAAGATCTTTAAGGTCCCTTCCAACCCAAACCATTCTGTGATTCTATGACAGATTTACCTGAAATTTATTCTCCCCAAACTTTTAGAGAAGTTGGCACTTTTGAATTATACTTTTTCCTGAGAAGTGGTTTTCATAAGTGGTTTGTTGTATCTCAGTGACCTCTCTCTACATTTTCTCTGTGTGATAAAAAGTGACAGACTTCTTTCTAGATCTGCAAACTAGACACAGAAATCCAGAAGACCCCCAGATTTTCCTCCTTCCCTGGCCACAGTTACACAGCAAAGCTGGCACAGTGCCATCTATTCAACTTGGGTGGTCTTACGTGGGTTTGCTCCAGTGCTAGGAGTGTCCCCGCTCTTCTCCTGGCCACCCTTACCATATATTGATCAACCTGGTCTAGTGGAAGGTGTCCCTGCCCATGGCAGGGGGGTTGGGACTGGATAGGCTTTAAGGTCCCTTCCAACCCAAACCATTCTGTGATTCTGTGATTCAAAGTGACAGCTGGTAAAAGACGCAGCAGGCTATTTTTGCCTGGCTAGGCAAATACCTTCATATCTGCAGCACTCTCCAGAATCTCATTTATAAGTGAGCAGCGGACAGATGTACACACAAGTAACTGAACAAAACCCCAAAGAATACTTCTCCAGGCAGCAGCTGCTGGTTAGGGGTCTGAATGGCTTCCTCCATCTCCAAGTATTCAAAAGCCTACTTTGGAAAGTAGGGCTCTGAACTACTGAAAAACATTAAAAAACTGGAATCTTGGACGTAGTTGAAATGTTCCATCACCGTTGAATAATAACTCAATAATTAAATGAAAACTCTTGTTGCTTTTTTCCCCAAAATAGAAAAATGCCCTCAGCCATTCCTGAAACCTTGGGAGCCATCAGAAACACAGGCAAGACACCTGAGCATTTTCACTGTTGTGAAGATTCTCTAGGAAGGCTGAAGGACTAAAATTATATGAAGACCACATCAAGGTTAGGCTCACAGACACGGTTCCTACTCCCAGATTCAGCTAATGTGTATGGCATGGTTTTCACTTTCTGGAAGCTCTCCCCTCAGTACAGCAAAGAGAGCTTTCAGTGGGGTCCTTATCCCTACAGCAAATTCCAGATGGACAAATGACAACCACTCCAAACTCACTTCTCACTAATGAAAACCCACCGTACAAACCAGAGCAGTGTTTTCCCACTTACAATCACTGAGCCCTTGGAAGTCCACAGACCACTTCCAAGGCCACCAAGAATGCTTGCTTAGATGGTTTTTTATCTTTTTTTTTTTAATCAGATCAATGTATTTCTAACTTCTAGGATTGTGATTTAAATAAATTTAATAAATTTAATTTTGTTCAATTTCAATAGAAGCAGGTACAGGCTCACAAAAGTTTATATAAAAATTCTACTTACTTTGTGCATCGAGACAGGTGATCGTTACCCAACCGATCAAAGCAAAAACCAGAGATCTAGGTAGTGCCATGAGCACTGCAGAAAAAAAATCCTACTGAAGGCAAAAGCAGGCGGTCGTTTCTCAAATACAATATTTGTAAAGAATCATTTCATTTGCCATATCATAAGGTAGTTATCTTGACAAATGCTTCAGTGAGAACAAGGCAAAAGCCCGGAATAAGCCTTTGACAGCAATCCACCAACTATATAACATGCTTATCGTTTTCAGCTTGTGAGATCAAAGTCCCTTTTGGGCAATAAAAATAAGCCAACAAGGAAATATCATTTTTTGTGTTAGAGTACAAATAACAAAGTCTATTTTTATTTTAATATTCAACATAGAGATGAGAATAAATAAATCCGCAGGATGTCCTGACCAATATGAGAGAAACCTACATATTCCCTGGGAAAAAAAAAACCCTAAAGAGTGTGTCAAAAGGCAAAGGGGCCAGCATTGCCCCTTTTGATCTCATGGTGATGGCAGAGTATCTCCTCGTAACTCTTCCACGAGGAGTAAGTGCAGAATTCTGGTTGAGAAAACAGTAGTTACTGTTTGATGCCATGAAAGCCGACCCACCTGAAGCGTGCCTAGTGTTTTATACATAGTATACGTCGAAAATAGGTATAGCAGGCAGTTAAAACATTTTACTTCAGTGAAGATTCCTGCAAAACCAACCCAAGTACACGAAAAGCTTGCAGAGAACTTTCAAAGACTGCAAATGGTACAACTAATCAAGCGCTTTGTTTCCATCATTTGGAGGTAAATATACCTTTGACTCAAAGGAGGAACTGATGACGCAGGAAGGAAACTGCTACCAGACCAAGGTCCTTTCACGCTTGTGCTGCTATGTTTTGTCACCATGGATACTGAAGTAATTACTATACTCTCAATGAAAATGCAAATCTCGATAAAATGACATAAACCAACAAAAAATAAAATTATCATTGTGCTTTCCTAGCCTTACATCATTGAAATGGAAACGTGGGAGCAATTCAAGCAGAAGCGAGTAAAAGGAATACTGGAAGAAGTTGAATCGTGAGCACCATCTCTTTTGAAGAGAGGCCACAACCAGCCATGATTTTGCATTCAGCAGCATCATTACTGGAGCCAGTTGTTTTTACTCCCCTGCCCGATTGTGCCCTGCATCCACGATGACCGGGCCTTAGAAGGCTGTGTGGCAAAACACAGCAGACACCTGTGTGCACACAAAATACCTCCTGCAAAGAAGGAATAGCGGTTTCCTGATCTCATGCACGCAACAGCATCACATACCTTTGTGCTCTTACAGCCACACCAGATGCTACGTAGCTGATACTTGTACCAAAAAGTTCTTCTAGCAGCCAACCCTCTTGACCACTGGAAATATTTATGTGCTGGAACCTTGATCCACTAATGCAGATTTGCTTTTGGCTATTACAAATCACAGTGAAGGCAAAGCAGCTTGAACGTTTTCTGGGAGCCATGCTAGCAAGGGGCATCCCAGGGAGCTGGAAGTTCTGTGAATGGAAGGGCCATGAGGATAAAACTCCAGATCTCCCTCGTCATCTACGTGGAGGCAGTCTAGAAGCTGAAGGTAGGCCATCGGCGTGCACAAACGCCCTGTAAAACCAAATGCAAGGCCCAGGTCACCTACAGGCAGCTGTGCAATGGAAACTGCTGCTCGGAGGCAGCACCCAGCTGTTACCCACTCTCCCTAAGGGTTTGGAGAGTCCTAGTCCAAGGCTGCCATGCAGGATTCATCTGTCCTGCTCCGTCATAGCCCCCAGGGATCAGTGCTCCAAGCCCAGGCAGAGAGAAGGATCATGACAGTCTCAGCCACTGCCACCTATGTTCCCTAACGGAATTAGGCCCAAAACAGAGTTGAGATGAAGCTCATCATTCACTGGGCAGACCAGGAAAGAGGAGGATGGAGATAGGCATTTAAGGTGAGATGATTTGTAACACCGAATAAGCTATAGAAGAGGCAGGAATACAACCCGGCAAGGGTGGGGTGGTGGAAACGGTGATTTCTTCAGCTGACATTGAACATCATTAATATCACCGAGGGCAGGCAGTGCCCAACCTCCCCAAGCCGAGGATGCCGCCCGCTTTCGACAGCAGCAGCACCCATCGAATTCGTATTGAAATCCCTTGTGATTCCCAGAGTAGCAGAGCTCACGCAGTCCCGTGCCGCTCTGTCAGCCGCTGTAGCCTTCGGGCCAGCCGATGTTTCATCAACCTCCACCCTCACGATGCTCCGAGACAGTCATCACGGCAACGCAGACATTCCGTGCTGGTGCTTGGTTCAGGCCTAGGAAAGCCTTTGGCTGGTTTTATTTATAGATACAGCCAAGAGGGGATTCAACAGCAAATTTAATCCTGCAGTAAGATAAATTTAACTTGAGCACAGTCTTTTTCACTTTCTAATTATTAGGGAATAGGGAACAAACTCAGAACAGCGGTACAGCTCATGCAGATTAGATTTCACCAAGAACAGCTGCAGGAGGAACGTCTTCAGCATCTGTCTATGATCAGTGCTCTCTAGGACATCAGTAACAACTTCAGGTCTTACACTTGTTGAGAGCGGAGAGGGAGGTGCCTAAACAGAGGCAGGGAACTTCCCATAATCGCTCAAGCAAGCACCCAATGCACAGGAGCCTTTCCCCCACACCATAGGGTATGTCCCTAAATTCAACAAGAACAGGAAACAATGTTCTTAAAAAAAACAGAGTCCCTTCTGGCAAAGAGAAGTGTCCTCTCAGCCACCTCAACCATGCCCATGCTACTCGCAGTCCTGTGTTCACCGTCTGCGGCAGCCGCATGTCCACATTTCGCCTAACATGCCATCTTTTTCTCTTGGAGCCATTACTGTGGTTGAATTTAAAATTCTGGCCCTTTCTCCAAGATTTCGGGACACAAAGCCAAGAGGCAGAACTGCAGAGTGCAGCAAGCTACGTTTACACACGCATGTGGCAGTCGGGCGCACGCTGCACTCTTCCCAGTACATCAACTGCACATATAGACGACATCCACATAGCGACTTCTAGAAGCAGAATCATGGAAATTAATCCAACTCTCAGATTTAACAGACTGCTTTAAAGGTACAATCAGCACCGTGGCAGTGGAAGGCAGAGCTAAACATGTTTTTAACACAGCTTAGTTCGCCATTTTGCATACTTGGCTCATTTGTAGGGCAGCTCACTCATGAACTTTTAATCCAGCTTCAAAACTCAACGCAGATAAAAAGTCTTCTAAGTTCTTGTAGATTTGGAGTAGCTCCCCATTCAACCATATCCTGTTCCTGACAGATAAAAAGCCTGCACCATGATGCTGCAATGTAATCGTGAATACACAAGCCTGATTGAGACCATCAAACACAATTTACACACTTCCTTCATTCTTACAAGTATCTGTACAAAACTCACACACTTCTTAAATCAATGACATTTATTTCCATTAAACCAAGACAATTTTCCAAATTAATACAAGATAAAAATTCAAGGTGGTTGGCAAGGGGAAAACAAGTTAGACTGCATGTCACATGTGTTATTTTTATATGCCCCAAAATATATTAGAATAAACCAATACTGGCATGTCAAACCAGCACTTTCCCACAGAACAAAACCAGCAGAATTTTCCGTTCTCCTCTAGTCAGTAGTTCTATAAAACTAAACACACATACATGCAGCCTGCCACTTCCATAGCCAAGTTTACAATGGGAATTTGGAACCGTCCTCTATCAGAAAGTCACAAAATTGTAGCAAAACGCTTATTTCTACTGCATTTTCATACCCGGTGGATTTTATAATACTTCCTCTTTCAACAAACAACAATCTGCCTTCCAGTGTTTACTGTAAGTGCTTAAAACGGCATTACTACTTGCAAACAGGCCCGAGGCATTAATAAAGCCTTATTCATTTCATACCAATGGAAGCACTCACTCCTGCCCAAAATCAAAGCCGTTGAAACCCGCAGTTTTGACTGCTGGTTTCACCGGGCTCTGAATTTGCTACAGCATTGGACAAAACGGACAAGAAATCCATTCTCTTTTACTTGTTTCAATGAAAATCTCCACCTTGAAAGCAGTGTTTTCAAGTATTGCTATCCTAGTTTCTAACGCCTACCGAAAATCCTCAAGAAACAAGACAAACAAGGAAAAGCCTGAATGGAGAGAAGAGTGCATTTAAACAATGATCTCCCTCCTCTCCTTACCCCACCCACCCTCCCACCCAGGATCTGGCCAGCTTAATTCCAAACTCACAATTTATTGTACAGCTGTGGCCTGGAATAAGCTTTCCCTGAGCGCTCTTTCTCCCTGTTTTGAAAAGTCAGAACGTGTTTACTTGAATTCAGCCATTATTATTGCCATTATTGCCATTTTCTTTGCTAATATGTGACATATTCTAGGGAAGTTATTTCATTTTGGTAGCTCTGGATTTTCTGTAGACAAACTTGTACTCTATTGCTCCAGATACATAAACTGAAAGTGCATCTGACTTTTAAATTATTCAGGCAGGTTTCAGAAAGGAACTAGACCCAAAAGATCTACATGCACAGATCGTCATAGTGATTCATCTCCACCCAAAGACGCAGAATTAATAGCACATCCGCTCGGGAATTTAGTGGCATAGCATCATTAAGAGACAGAACTACTTTGCATTCTGGAGCCTGGATATTAGGAGGGAACAAAGCGCTGCGCAAGAGGAGTCAGACAGGGAACGGGAAGGAGCATTCGTTTCACGTACAAGTAAAGCAAGCGTTTCACGTGCAAGATGCGATCCTGCATCGTCACGGCGTTTGTATGATCTTTGGAGGTCTAGTCTCTACCTGCTACCCACCTTCACACGCATGGGAGTTGTGCCATATACAGAAGGAAGCCTCAGAACTGCATCAGAGTTTGGCTTAAACTAGTCTAAGTCATGGGTATTTTTCATGGACTCTAAATGCAAATCCCCAGAGGAGTGACCTGAAACGTACCCCCAAAATGCTACACTCCATAAATAACCCAGGCGACTTGCGTTAATGCTGCTGACTGCACTCAGGATTCAGTAGTCTCGCTTTTTCCTTTTCAGGATTTCTAGCACACGAAAAGGCGTATTAACGCCTTCCCCCATAAATAAAGTTAGTCTAATAATTTAACTTTGTAGATTTATAAAATATTTTCTATGCAACTTAACACAATAGCCTAAAAAAAGCAATTAAATTTAAGAAATAGTATATTTACAATTAAAATAAGTACAGACCTTATTGGATTTGCATTCATTTATCGCACAAAATAATTTACAAGGCCTAAAGTTATAAATAAGTCACTGGAAAGCTTTCAGAGATGTGCATTCTCTGTACGTCAGAGCGCAGTACAGTTTCAGGAAGCAGTAATGAATTCTGGCTACAGTTTTTTCATGAGTCCTTATGCTGGACGGCCTTGACCAAAACGGGATTTTGACCTGCAATAAAAACACATCAGAAACAGACGTATGTTATTACTGGGAGAATGTTAAATTGTCCAGACAGCTCTCTAGTTCAGTACTTGCTTGAAATTACTTTTATGTTGAAGTGCCTTCTAAAAAAACAGGCTAAAGAATCTTGGCTAACACTTTTCCAGCTATCCATAATTTTGCAAATAATTATCTCGGAGCAGCAGTCAGCCTTCCAACACAGAAGCCATAAAGCAGTTCTTCCAGCACAGGTACAACAGTTTCATTCGCTTAGCTCTAGTTCAATTTGAGAAAGGGAGCTTTCACATCATACAGGGCAAGGGAAGGGATGCTGCTTCAAAAAGGCCTGTTTTCCTTTAAACACCTCCCCAACAAATCCGTGTTCTGCTTTTTCCTTTTATTTTAAAACCTTACCTGGCATTCTTCTCAGCGTTGTTTTGTCGCGCGCTGACCTGCGCCGAGGCCTTTATCTGAGCTTCAAGTCTAGAATAAATGCCTCCTGCATACTGGAATCCAGAAAAAAAATGATCAAGTTTTGACATTATTCCACCTTAATCAGTGACTTTTCATAGAAAACACTAATATTCAGCAGAACCTACGGCATGCTTGGTTTCCTTTTCACAAACCAGTACTGAAACCTTTTAAACCCTTCCTATCTGCCATGTCCAGTTAAGGCAGTGAACTTCCATATTTAAAAGTATTTTCCCCAAAAAAATCATGCTTGAAGAAAATGAAGATTGATAAAATTCAGTCCTTTCCCGTGTATTCAATATTTAAGCTGTTTTCATTTGTGTAACATATTTTTGTTACCAATGCTCACTTCAGTTCTGTAAACACTATATCAAGACAGGGCAAATCTTACCTCTTTGCTGTCTTTTGACTTGACTCGATCAAGGTCTCCCAGTCTCATTTTTATTAAGTGCCCAGTAATCTCGGACATTCTTCTCTGATCTGTCAGAAATAAGACAACACATTTAAGAAGGGAGGTTTCCCTTGCTACTGAAAGCAGAAGGAACTAGACACACGCTTTAGCGATATTCTGTTTATAAACTCAGCTTTCGTTTCAGCTCAGATAAAAATCTCTAACAACCAAGATCCTGGACCCTGATGCATAATGTAAGTTCAGCAGTGTTCTTGGCAGACACCAGCATCAGCCTGAGGCGTTACACCGAGATGAAAATCTATGAGAATTGTTTTGAGGCAGAACTTTTCAAAACATCAAAAATGCACAAGAATCTCAGAGGACAAGAGGTGGAACTTATTAATATAATTCTGAATATGTTTAGTCAGAAAGTCTGCAAAAGAGATAGAAGTGAATGTTTTTCTCTGTTTATCTGCACAGACAACAAATGGCAGAGGAATGCAGGAAAAACTATTTACATACTTAAATAGTCATCAGATGACACAACTATAATCTCTGTAGATTATGTGCTGGCATTCCAAGTAAAGGACATAAATCACGCTAACATACACTTATTATGCATTTTTTCTTTTTCTCCTGCAAAGTTTAAACTCCTTTCCAATATTTTCCAAGAAAGTAGGCCCAATGCTGCCCATGTATTTTTCAATCTGAGCCCAAGACTACACTGTAGAGTTTTATACAGTAGATTTTCTTTCCTTTTTCCTACCACAAACATTTTTTTCTCTCACAGAATGGATGAGATTGCTAATAAATGCCAATGAAATCTTAAAGTAACATTTTCAGAAGGAGTTCCTGGCTGCAGGAATATTTTTGTACAGTTTGGAAGAGTCTGATATTGTGGTGTGGTTTGGATACAGCTGATTACTAACAGTTAGCCTAGCTGAAATCTGCTCACTTCCAAATAAGGCGTTAAAAAACCCCACCACCATTCTTATATCTGAGATTAATTTAAACCTAAATGTTTCTAAGTAGCTCTGTTTCAGGAAATTAGCTGTTTCTTATAAAGAAGAGTCATTTTCTTTGCATAATATTAACTCTATTAAAGCTGAACTCATGCAAGAACAGACCGTCTTCTCTTTGAGCATCTTGGTTGAATCTTAGTGACCTGGAGGCATCCCACTTGTTCTGCTGCACACTCACACTGGTTAGAAAAGAAAGATGCACACAATGTTATTAGTAACAGACTAGAAAAGGGATATACACTACAATATGTTCTCAAGGACTTTGAAAATGACTTACATGAACGGAGATGCATCTCGGGAACATGACTATCAAGGAAAGAAAACCACGTTAAGTGTGTTTTGAGATCAAGTCCAAAACTTAAGAGAATCCCACATTATTCAACCCAGAGAGGCAGGCTTCACAGTTCTGATTTTACCTTGTCAGATGGCTTCTCCTTTTTCTGAACACTAGGTGAAGAAACCACTTTCTTTGGGTGCTTGTAGGATTTCTTTGATTTCTCCTTTCTCCCTGCTAATTGAAGAAACAGCTAATAGCACCACCACAGATATTTGTAATTTCTACAGAGCTACAAAAAATTGTGTTCCCTTTATTCCTTTACAAATAGAATAAATGAACGGGCTGATTTCCTTTTGTTAGTGTTGAAGGCATGCTAATACACACAAATTACTCAAATGCTTCCCTATTACACGCATACAGGAACAAGTACATACTTCATATGCAGAGTAGCTACATGTAACTGCACAAGTTTCTTGGTGTAAAATTAAAAGCAAGTGCACATAAAAGCCACATCTTCCATATTAACCCAATCAACAAGCTGAGTGATATCAGACCAAACATGTTTAAAGTCAAACTACAATTTTTTTAAGAATTTTTTAAATGTCCTGGTGCACTCCAGTCCCTTTGTGTCAAGACAAAAAGAACAAACAACAGCCACTGTTCAAGTGGCTCATTGCTAGGGTGGAAAGGAGAAGCTGCTTTTTGGCTTTCCATGTTCCAAAACGTCTTGTCATATTAAAAAAAAAAGGAATGAAAATGCTTTTCGATCATAAAGAGCTTGTCTTTATGCAGACAATTCTAGCCATGTTCGCTAGCCATTTTGCTATGTAACCAGAAAAATATTCTGAAAACAAACACACATGAAAAAAATACAGTCGTGTAGCTCCTGCCTTTTCTTCCAACATTCATCTACAAGAAACTTGATAAAAGCAATCGGATAGTCTTTCCTGCAAAACACGCCCTTGGTCAGCTTTGAAGACATCTCAGACATGAACAGTTGCAGCTTTCCTCATTTGCCAGTGATTTTGATGGCACTTACAGCGGGGTAATTGGTATCTAAATGCAGAAAAACTAGAAATAAAATTCAGGCAACAGTCTTTTTTATTCTAAAAATTCCTATTGTTTAAAATTTACTTACAGAAGAATTCTGCAGCCTTGAAACCCTATCTCTAAATTCCAGGGAAAATGACTGTAAAGGCTTGTTGTACCTGGTTTCCTGCATACTTCCTCTTCATCCCCCACTTCATCCTCCGTGACCTCCGAGCCAGTGGTATACTCCTCCTCTTCAGATAACAATGACTGCTGTTTCTAATCAAGAGATGGGGTCACAGGGAACAGTTCATAACCGACCAGCACAGAATAGTGAAAATATTATGGAATGTGACGTTTACGTTGTTTGAACATACACATACATCTTCTGAAGTAAGTGAGAATGAGTGCCTAGTAACCCATGAGAAATGATGATGCTTAACATGGACTGCAAGTTCAGAAAGCTTCAGAATCATGTTTTTGCAAGAAGAACAATCTTCTTATAGGACACTGAAAACAGACTGCAGCACAAATCCTCAAGAGTGATAAAGGTAAACCGCTGCTCTGTAGGCACTTACATACAACAGCAGTAGATCATGATATCCTATCCTACTGAATGAATGCCTCCCCCCTCGCCACGTTTGGCTAGACCCTCAGCCCTGAGAACAGCTTTTTGCAATGAAGCAGCAGCATGAAGACGTCACAAAGCATCTCAAACAAGCCATCAGAGACAGACACTCAGAAACTCTGATTCTGATGATTCACATTTCTGTCAGCCTAAGAAATGATTAAGAACTGATACATGCCATGCTGGTCTATTGTGTGTTGTCATTTATAAAAACCTTCAAAAGGCACTTTTAATTTTTATTCAGGCCAAAGCAGTACGTTGCAAATACTTTATACTTTCTTGTAAAAAAGTGTTGCTATACTGCAACCTCCACATTAAAGCAAAAGTAAAAAAAATACATTTTCCACCAAATTAATTAGAAAATAAGACAAAAATCAAAATTAGTTCTCTGCCAGTGCAAAAGAGCAAATATTTGAAATTATGAACAAAAATATTTTACTAACCAGCTGTAAAGTCCAGTTCTTCAGAGAAAGAAACTGTAGTCACAAAAAGAGAGAGAAAGCATATAAGTTAAAAAGCAAATAATAATTATAAGCAAAGAATGTGAGTGGAATTCTAAAAATCAGAGCAGTATGTTATAGTGCAGCAACCTACCCTGGCAACTCCTAGAAGGCCTACTTCCATCTTTAACTATCAGCTTTGGTGGAACGACTAGCCGCTAACAAGCTGTGAGCCACCAACGGATTAAACCCAGTGAATTTGGAGTCACATTTTCAGTGTGCCAAACCTTAGCACTAAAAATACTTACAGCTGATTTTAATCAGAAAAGCAGACCAGGACAGGGGCAGTTGTGTACCAGATTGTTACTGAGATTAACTTTAATAGCTTCCTGCATTTATCACAGGAGAGCTTCTGATACTCTGAAGCTCTCAGAGAATCAGCAGCATCATGCTACCACCAGGAACGTTGAGTTAGCATAAGTTCCACCATGGGTGCAGAACCTTATCTTTTAAAAACAGAAGTAGTATTAGAAACAATCCCCTCAAACTTGAGTTGGAAAGCATCTCTGTTGACCCTGCATGCACACAGTAACATACATGTATCATAGTTGTGGAAAGTAGTATCTTTCACATCTTGGAAAGAAAAAAAAAAAACAAACAACCCCAAAACAACCCACAACCCAAGTTACTGTTCTTCATTTATGGGTTCGCAACGTCACGGGGACATACCCAGACGTATCAGCAGACAAGATGAAGACAGCAATTAATTGTTTGCCACATGATGTACTTTTAAGTATGACCGGATCCTTAAATATCATCAGTTTAAGAATGGGATGGAAAACACAGATCTATGGAGAACTGCTTCTGCTTTACAGAAATACTTCTGGGAGACATGGTAAAAGTTTTGCCTTTTCACCAGCCAGACATTTTGTACCTACGCTAGCCTATGCTATCCTGCAATGCTGAGCAATGCAGGACTTCCTCCAACAATGGATGGCTTCAGTGTTCTTTTTTTTTAAAGTTGCCTAATGAATTCTTCCAAACACCCTTGTAAGTATCTTCATTATCAGAAAGAAGTGGGGAAAACACATTAGCAGTCACTCACAGCATTGATTTCTCCAGTTTTGGGACCCCACGGCGTATTTGGTTCCACAAGCACATCGCATTCAATGCCTTTTTCATCACTGAGCCCAATACCAGAATCACTTAAAGAGAAAGGTGTGAAATGAAAATATTTTTGTTTCACAGCATCAGAATCAGTCTCTCGTTACTCACCGCGTATCAAGGGAAGACAGATCTCCAAGTCAGCCACATAGAACTTTGATAACAATCCATTAAAATATAAAGGAGTGAATGCTTATGGAGGTTGAATGACTAAATGCCTGCTTGAAACGTAGAAGGAAAAAGTACGGCTTGTTCTCTTCCCAATTTCCAACTAAACAATCGAAAAGAAGTTATCTTTAAGAAGTTCTACGTCACCCATTTTAAAAATGGGAGAGAAATCAAACAACGCGCACATGTGTTACGTGCTGAAGGCGAAGTTATTTCCGTAACACAATACAATGCTTATTGTCTTGTAGGGATGAGAATCTTACCTATTCTCATCCTTAGTGAAAGGAACAACAATAACATCTCTATGATGGAGCAGATCATCCAGTATTTTAGTAGTCTGGGACAGCAAAGCATCCCCATTTTCCTTGCCTGAAGGTAAATCAACCATGTGATCCCTCACTTTGCAGCCCTGCGATACACACACAGAGAAGATCAAACACTTGCATTAACGGGAAGAACTGATTTCAGCAAGTACCACATGAAAAGTTTAGAAGATGAACTTTTGCGTCCCAAGGTCTAGTCTGTCCCAGGACACGGCAATGATTTACAATCCTTATTTTGGAAAATATTTATTTTCACTACCCACTGCCGTGCCACGCCAACCCCCCACGCCATGAGTTACGCTCTTTTCAAAGTGAGCTGGTACTGAAGTACCTTTGGGAGGGTTGTAGGATCAAATCGAAGAACTTTTTGGTTACAACAGGGATATACTCCTGTGCCAGTCGAGCCCAGCGCACTTGCCACACCTGGATAAAGAACTGGCTGCGAATGGTACTGGCAATGGGAGAATTCCGTACACAGGAAAGACTACATGACAATAAAAAGAGAGATAATGAGAGGTGAGATAACCCATGGATGTCAAAAGTTTTGCACTATAAAAGAACACATACCAAGCTTTATTGCCATATATTTTCCAAACTGCAAAAAGTCATCCACAACAAGCCATCTATAGACAAATGAGTAAAAGTCAAAATATACTAACTTGGTTACACCTTGAGCAGGTCAACCAATTGACAGTGCCCCAAAGACGCCAGTAAACATCCCGCCAAGATTTCAGTTCGTCATGAAGGCCAATTAAGTACTCATGGACTTCCCAGGTTTTGTCTCTGAAAAAGCAAAAGGTCAGGTCGCCGAGAGTCATAGCTCTGTTCTGATCCTGCCACCAGAAAGGTGAGGTGGGGAGGGAGCAGAGCACCACATGCTCCATTGGTGAAAAGCCTACACAAGAGTTTAGAACAGGAAGGATACAATGTGGGACAATCATCAAATTCAGACCATGACAGAAGAGCTTTTCACAACATCCTACACTTATTAACAACAAAGAATTGCAAGGCTTGATTCATCTCAAGCTCCATATAGTATAAAATTATAAGCTAAGATAAACATCAAGCCTTTTGGAAATCAGAGGAACGATAAAACAGAGGAAAATATAATACACAGAGTAGAAGAAATCAAAGTACACACATACAAACCAGTTCAGTCATATTGCAGTTGTCTGTCTTTAAAGTTAATGTGTTGTACAACAGAAGCAAAGTGCTGCCATTCTATTTTATTTACTTTAAAAGCCAACCAACATGTTCCTATATATCTGCAACATAGCAGCAGTTACTCAGAACTGAACAAAAGAATCAAAGTTTGAAAATATAAGAGCATGTCTTTTTGATGACTATATGTATCTGAGACTTCTATCTAGTCTTAAAAATGCACCTTGTACCTTCCTAGTGATAAAATGACACATGCCTCCTCTGAATTCAAAAGAAAACGCACAACCTGCACTGGTGCATGTTACCTTCAGAAAAAGCAGATACTGTTTTCCCCCATTTATAAACCCTGGCCTAAACTGGGTTTTATTATATGAACATCCAACCTACACTAAGCAAGCAGTACTTCCTACGGAAGTTAGTTCTAGGCACCACTAGAGGACCAATAAATATAAACGTATTTTTAAATCATGAAAGGTAGGCTTGTGTTAGCTCATAAGCCCAAATTCATTAGTGGCCAGCATCACTTCATCTAAGGAACAGTAAACGGATTCTGTGCAGAAAAGCAGTCACAAGTACCACAAGGCAAATAATTAGAAGCTAAATAATCCTCTGAGCAACTTTAAACCCCTGCACATTTATATGCTAGGAATTGCATCGCGGCTAAATACAGTCAGCTTAAGTGAAGAAATACAATTAATGAATGTTACGTGGCTAATCACCTGTGATCCTCATAGGTCAGGACAGGGTCGCAAGATTCGCTTCCATTTAGATTGTTAGGCAGAACTTAACCCATGCCTTGGAATTACTGGTCAGAGGTAACACTAAATACACGATACCTTGGAAGCTGATACTGAACTGTGTTTTAGTTGTTCTGAACACAACAGCTTTGATGAGAAAGTTCTCCTGTATTAATTCCCACCATCTTCCTTAAAGGGGGCATGCAGGGAGGGAGGGAACTGCAGCGATCACACCCTGATCTTCATTAAGAAGAGAATCCAGCTGTTCACAAGCATGGATCAGACAGAATTGGATTAAACATTTGCGCCAAATGAATCGGGCATAAAAACAGAAGAGGTCCTGGGAGATTCTCTGACAAACACTTTAGAACAGAAAAACAACTGGCAAAATTTATTTATAGTAGTCTTTAAGCAGGCCTGAGTATTTGATTTGACAGTATAAGCCCTTTAGCATTTCTTTGCTGGCAGAGGTGATCTCAAACCTCACAGAAATGCAGCCTTTGATTTAGTTTGTCACCAACTACACATATCTTAAACCTCTTTGATGAAAGAATTAGCTGAGTATTTTCTATTTAAGGCAGTACAACCCAAATTAGCCCTCCCAGTAATCGTGGCTGCAGTTTCTCCATTTCCATTCAGGAGCAGCACTGCTGAATGAATTTCAGAAGTAAGTCACCATAGCCCCCTTTTTTCTTTTTTGCTAGGTAATAGAAAAAGTTGAGATGGTTCATACTGCTCTTCACATATCTATGACTTCATTCTGTCATGCGAGCATCTGATAATTCCTAAGCTTGTAGTATTTTGGAAAATCACCCAAAAGCATAAGCTGAAGAAACATTAAAAAAAAAAAGTATTCACTACCTTATATGAACATAGACAATATTCCCATGTTGATCTATGTTGATTTTTCCTGGTACACAAGGAATTCTTCTTTCAGTTTCCTTAGTTAGCAGCTTTTTACATAAACAACACCTAGATTATTAAAAATTTTAAAAAAGAAGGAAGAAAGTATTGGAGTAAGAGCAGGACTTCAAAACACAGGGACTGTCCTTCCAACTGAAGCAGTAACACAGAGCATACCTGTATAATGTTGCTGCATTTCCTCGAGAATCTGGATTGAGGTACTCTGGGTCAAACAGTCTCTCAATCTTCTTGCAGAAAAGTTTACTATTAATGACAGCAACACAGCTTACCCATTAGAAAACAACTAAACATTGTTTTATATACAGTAAGACTAATAATTATATTCTGATGATCAGCAACGTCACCATATTTCTCTCAGAATCTAGATTATTTAAAGGAAAAAAACCACACTAAAAGCTGTTTGGATAACTGGTTCCTGATCTGGTCATCTCCTATTTTCACACAGATGTCAGGGAAGAGATCCCTTAATTTTTTCCCGTTACTATGTTGCTTGCCAATATATAAAGACCTTTAAATTAATGAATAGCTCTGTGAAATTACATTTAAATTCTAAAAGTTATAATTTCTTCATCCCTACTGATTAAAGTTTCACCTTGCTTGTCTGTCAGTCTGCCCTCCAATAATTGGCTCTTATCTTGATACTGACTATGCTGGAGTCCTTATGTATGAAATACTATTCCATCACAACTATTCAGCCTTCCAGCCATCCTAAGTTCTGTGTCTAAACAAAGTGTTCACAAGATGCTGAAGCCAAACCATTCTCTACGAATTAGGAGCATGTCATCCCATAAAAGGTTCTGTACCCTAATCCTGGCTCCCATGTGAGAATTCATGAATAATTTGTCCATGACACCCTTCCAGTATGGCCTTTCCTTTTGCTCATTACCTATAAAAAAATGCTCTTTCCTTGTATTCATACTTTTAATATGAAATTCTGAAGCCACTTCTTGATATTCTGTGTTAAAGATACATCATATGAGAAAATAAATTGTCTATGTATCACTTCAAATCCCACACTGTCTTAGCTGTCCTGAAGAACGATCCAAAAGCCCAACAGGACTTCAGCAGTGTATCACAGGGCAAAAAGTTACCTCTTAAATTTGTCTCTTTTGTCCTTCAGCTCTTCTACTTCGTTGTGCGTGAAGAGATCAGCAATGTGCGTAACAAGATTAGCGTTGATACAATTCATGTTACATGGCGTGGCTACAATAGCATTCATATTTTTGTGACAATAATGAATACATTTTTCTACCTAGGAAAAAGAGAAACAGTAAAAATAATGTTAAGGAATTCTAGACAAAGCTATTTCAAAAGGTGTGTAAATTGCTACAAGATTTTTTTTTTTTTTTTTTAAGAGTGCAACATTAAAGGACACCTAAAAAAAACCTCAAGTCTCAGACTTGTCTAAAGACAACTCTGAGTTAACATGACTCAGTGACCTGGACTACAGGACAGAGTGTACCCTCAGCAAGTTTGCTGATGATTCCAAACTGGGAGGAGTGCCTGATAGCCAGGAGGCTGTGCTGCCATTCAG